ATCTGTGAAGACAACTTTCAATTTGACTTTAGAAATTAAAGAGTTTGTAAGCAAAATGTTGGGGAAATTTAATTATAATTAAGAATGTTTAAAATAAGTTGTCCTTCAAGAAGCCGTACATATAATCCATAATATTTTCACTGTTTTTTAAATACATGTAAAAGTTGAAAGATAACTATCTATTGATTTTTTTTTAAATAGCTTTTTTCACAACACTTATAACTTTGTAATTTATGTTCCATTGTACACTTGTTATTCACAATATCTTTAAAAAATTGTTATTTGGGAACAAAATCTTGTCAGGGTTTCTTATGGTACTAGCATGACAAGTGCATTCATATTCTAAAATACTCTAAACATTAAAAAAAGTCAGTATTTTCAGATCATTCTGAGTCTTTCTGACCTTATTAAGTCAGAACATTCAGACTTTTATAAGTCAGAACATTCTGACTTCCAATGTTCTTCTCACTTCTGTAGAAACAAAGACTATCTATGTCTCAAATAAGAGGTAAATGCTTCATGTGGCTAAGCATCTGGGGGTAAGAATTATAGATGTGTAATTTCAGAGGAAAACAAATATGCCAAAATTTTTTTTTTTTTCATATAGATTAGACCGTTGGTTTTTCCGTTTGAATGGTTTTACACTAGTAATTTTTTGAGGCCCTTTATAGCTTGCTGTTCGTGTGTGAGCCAATGCTCCGTGTTGAAGGCCGTACCTTGACCTATAATGGTTTACTTTTATAAATTGTAACTTGGATGGAGAGTTGTCTCATTGGCACTCATACCACATCTTCCTTTATCCATGTAATTAATAAGATGTGATGCATGTGAGAGGAAAATAATACTGAATAGACAATTCTGTTTGCACAAACACTGATAAATATAATATGTAAAGGTGGTCTCTCAGCAGATTAAAATAAACAAGAAATAATTGTAACAGGATGCTGTTACGAAGTCTCCCAAACAAATTTAAGCTCCCATAATTCGTCATTCCCATGGTTGCCTGACATTGGGCAAGTTCCAGTACAAATTGGTTTTGTCTAGTAAAGTGATATGCATAAGTGACGCCTAGGGTTTGACCCTGCATGTCATTCAAATCTTCTTGAAATGACGAACAGGAATATCATATGGTTTACCTTTAGGGGTGGTGATCCAGAACATTTCAAAAAGGGGGATGGGGATGGCCCCAATGGACTTCCCCTATATTTCATTTGATTTGTTTTATTGTCCTGTGCAAGAATGTATATGGTGTAGGGGTGGGGATCTCGACCGTTTACAAGTTTTCAAACATGAGGGGGTGGGGTGACCCTCAGGGACTCCACCTTTATTTCATTTGATTTGTCTTATTTACCCTTACAAGAATATATATGGTTAAGGGGTGGGGATCCCGACCGTTTACAAGTTTTCACACAGGAGGGGGTGGGGGTGACCCCAAGGGACTTCCCCTATACTTCATTTGATTTGTTTTATTGTCCTATTCAAGAAAATATATGGTTTAGGGGTGGGGATCTCGACCGTTTACAAGTTTTCAAACAGGAGGGGTAGGGGTGACCCCCAGGGACCTCCCCAACATATCATTTGATTTGTTCAATTGTCCCATACAAGAATATATATGGTTTAGGGGTGGGGATCTCTACTGTTTACAAAATATAAGAACATTTGCAAATGGCAGGGGGTGGGGGTAAACCTGGAGACTAGCCCGGTATATTTCATTCAAATCAATTTGACATTATAAAGAGGAATAGAGAAATGACAGGGATAGGGGTGATCCCTGGAGACTTGCCCTACATTTCATTTGATTTGTTTTATCATGTCCCATGATCATATTAAATGAAGACCAGGTGTGTGCATCACTTATTGTTCTCAAGTTATAACTTTAAAAATTAAAAAAAAAAAACCCTTGGGTTCTTTAGTTAAACCCCTCCCTTCCTTTTTCTTTTATTAAAATTTTTCCCATTTTCGTTTCATTATCATCATATCAATATTCACAATGATCGTTTTTCTCATAGGGAGAAACGAATCAGAAAGGTTAAAAAATCAGTTCGTGATTGAGTTTAAAAATAGAAAAATCACGTGACGATGTTCAGCTCGAAGCAATAATTTTACTTTTTAAATTGCACTGACTGGTTAATAATGTTAATATTGTTTAAGACAACACGAGTTATCTCCCGAAAATAACAATTCATTATCATAACAACATTTTCTGACCTGAACAAGTCAGAATTGTCAAACACCAGGTCATCTAAAAGACCACGCGTCCGTATTTACAGGTCGCGCGCCTTCATGAAACAGCAAAAAAATCACTTGCAAGGAACTTCTTTATAGGCAAAAAATATAAAAATGCCCATGAAAATACGGAGGTAATATGAATTACCTTTCTAAAAATGCCCACAATGACCTAGATTTTCACTAAAAATCGTAAATAATCAATATAATATTCAATGACTTCTCGTTCGAGACACTTCCAAAACAACGACTCTCAAACACGTGATCTCTTGCAAAAAACCACGTGATCGTATGTGTCGTAGATCGGCGGCAAATTCAAAATAACTTCTGGTTTGACGGACTCGAGTGAAAACTACGCAAAACAAAAATTGACGCGTACAGGTCAGAATTTCAAAACACTTTCTGACTTGAAGAAGTCATTTTATTCTGACTTGTTTATGTCAGAGCTCTGACTGTATGTAATGTTAACTGGAAGAAAAACTAAGTCCATTTATAAGTAAAATACGGAAAAAATGGAACAAAATTTCGTTCTAGATACTAGCTTTTAATCATAAACAAGCTTCTGTCTAAGTTTGGTACAAATCCAGGATAGTTTAAGAAAGTTGTTAAAATTTTAAAAACTTTAACCACAGAGTGAATGTAATGTTAACTGGCAGAAAAACTAAGTCCATTTATAAGTAAAATACGGAAAAAATAGAATTTTTTTTTTACAAAATTTACTTTCGGATACTAGCTTTTAATCATAAACAAGCTTCTGTCCAAGTTTGGTACAAATCCAGGATAGTTTAAGAAAGTTGTTAAAATTTTAAAAACTTTAACCACAGAGTGAATGTAATGTTAACTGGCAGAAAAACTAAGTCCATTTATAAGTAAAATACGGAAAAAATGGAATTTTTTTTTTACAAAATTTACTTCTGGATACTATCTTATGATCATAAACAAGCTTCTTTCTAAGTTTGGTAGAAATCCAGGATAGTTTAAGAAAGTTATTAAAATTTCAAAAACTTTAACCACAGAGTGAATGTAATGTTTCCTGGCAGAAAAACTAAGTCCATTTATAAGTAAAATACGGAAAAAATGGAATTTTTTTTTTACAAAATTTACTTTTGAATATTATCTTATGATCATAAACAAGCTTCTGTCCAAGTTTGGTAGAAATCCAGGATAGTTTAAGAAAGTTATTAAAATTTCAAAAACTTTAACCACAGAGTGAATATTTGTGGACGCCGCCGACGACGACGACGACGACGCCGACGGAATGTAGGATCGCTATGTCTCGCTTTTTCGACAAAAGTCGAAGGCTCGACAAAAACTTTAACCACAGACTGAACCTAAATGTTTACGCCGAGGACTACGGAATATAGGATCGCTATGTCTCAGTTTCGCAAAATAAATGGTGCAGGCTCGACAAAAAACTTTAACCACAGGTGTATCTTAATATAAACTGCACAAAAAATAAAAAAAAACATTTATCAGTCAAACACAGTAAAAGGAAAAACAAAAATTCTAAATTTGACTCTGGATTCTGTCTTTTGATCATAAAAAAACTGCTGACCAATTTTTATATAAATTCTATGATGTTTTGAGAAGATTATTGATGCCTACTTAAACTTGAACCACTACAGGCACAAACTGATTCTAAATGTTGACAACACCATCGCCATGTTCAATGGCTATGTCTTTCTTCCGCCACATTTTTTCCACAACAAAATGTCGCAGGCTAAAAAAAAATCAAATTCACCAACCTAAAAATTACTGAAATTGTCAGTGTGGTCAACATGGTCAATAAGACACAATTTGAATTATTTATTAAAAACCAGTGTTCATGACATATTCTATTTTTTGTTTTTAGTTTGTGAAAATTTTAACTTGTCCAATCAAAAAATTGCATTGCATTGAAACTACCTTTGAATTATTTCAACCATTAACTTCTGTGATATTTATGATTTATGATATTATTTTGTAAGCACAATTATTATGAAACTGTTTAGAAAAGTCAATACAATTAACATTGAAAAATGTCATATTTTGTAATTTTGAGATGTGTTATAAAACTACATGAATCTGGAATAATTTTGAATTCTGGAAAATTGATAAGAAATATATGATGGAAACTAACCCAACTATGCTCGCATGGCTAAGGTTTAAGTTTATACCTTCACTGATTTTTGAGTATGAACTAGTTAACCCCCTTAGCCATGCATGAATGGCTAACCCTCCTGAATTAGGTTAGTTTCATCATACATATCTTATCAATTTTCCAGAATCAAAAATTATTCCTTGTTTTAAGTAAAACAAGCTCAAAATTTGAAACTGCTTCACTTCCCTTTACAGTGTAAAAGTACTAACAAGTTTGTTTCTCAATAATATTCACTTTTAATTTATATTCAAATGGGATAAAGAACTTCTCTTAAGATATATACTTCACATAAAAATGTCCTAACTTTTGTAGTGAATCTTTGACTTAGTTAATTTTGTATTAAGTAATATTTAGGATGTCATATTTCCTTTTATTACTGTTTCCATCTCGACACTCAGTGATGAGCTAAGGAAATCACACTTTACAGAAAGATTAAAACCAGCTCAGTGTTGACTTTATGAAAGCATATAAGGAAGCACCTTTTCCTATCTTAGTAATTTGGTTCAGATGGGAAGCCAAAAACTTTCCTTTCATTTGAAATTTTTCCCATAAAAGATGGATCGATATAGTGAATCAGCTGAATGTTCAATTGAACAAACTACAAATGTTTGAGAGCAAAACCAGTATATCTGACCTGAGCTCCTCCGCTTGTGTCAGACATCTTGGCAACACCTCCTCCGCTATGAATATACCATAACGCAAATAACAGGGATAATTCATGAGGCTCAACACAGTATAATCCCTTTATAAATATATCTATAATGTCTCTTGCAAATCTGAAAGGACAAGATACACAAATAATACACAATGCTTCACAAATAATACACAACCATTCACTAATAATACACAACAATTCACTAATAATACACAACCATTTACTAATAAAACACAACGCATCACGAACAAGTGAAACTGCGAGCTACTGCTCACTGATGATACCCCTGCTCAAATATTTTGTTAAACAGGAAGTTGTTGAGAGATGTAGCTGGAAATATTTACATGATAACTTATTCCCTTGTCAGGCTTGTAGTAGCTGGAATTATTTACCTGATCACTTATTCCCTTGTCAGACTTGAAGTAGCTGGAATTATTTACCTGATCACTTATTCCCTTGTCAGACTTGTAGTAGCTGGAATTATTTACCTGATCACTTATTCCCTTGTCAGGCTTGTAGTAGCTGGATTTATTTACCTGATCACTTATTCCCTTGTCAGGCTTGTAGTAGCTGGAATTATTTACCTGATCACTTATTCCCTTGTCAGACTTGTAGTAGCTGGAATTATTTACCTGATCACTTATTCCCTTGTCAGGCTTGTAGTAGCTGAATTATTTACCTGCTCACTTATTCCTGTCAGGCTTGTAGTAGCTGAAATTATTTACCTGATCACTTATTCCCTTGTCAGACTTGTAGTAGCTGGAATTATTTACCTGATCACTTATTCCCTTGTCAGACTTGTAGTAGCTGGAATTATTTACCTGCTCACTTATTCCCTTGTCAGACTTGTAGTAGTTGGAATTATTTACATAACTTATTCCCTTGTCAGACTTGTAGTAGCTGGAATTATTTACCTGATCACTTATTCCCTTGTCAGACTTGTAGTAGTTGGAATTATTTACATAACTTATTCCCTTGTCAGACTTGTAGTAGTACTATTGTTTTACTTACTGTGTCCAGCAAATTTTGTCCAGGAATTCTTTAACTGTCATACAGTCCCATTCTTCAGCCTTCTTTGCCAACCAAGGAGCATGTTTAGGTACCTGTAAATCATAATTTTGTACTAAAATTATAGGCCTACTTGATAAATATATATACTATGTTCTTCTTGTATATTTTATGATGGTATGATACTAAACACCTAAAGGGAGGGATTGTGCTTGATTTTCATGTGATGAAGACATAAATCTTTCAATCAGTTTAATTGAGGTCTGCAGCTGGCATGTCAATAACTGCTAGTAGTCCTTTGTTAATTTATGTATCATTGTCGTTTTGCTTAGTTTATTTTGTTACCTATTCTAACATCAGACTCAGACTTTTTTTTAACTGAGTTTTACTGTGCGTATTGCTGTACGTGTGTTTGTTTATTCTACATTGACTAGAGGTAGAGGTAGAGGGGGATGAATGAGATCTCACAAAACATGTTTAACCCCGCTGACTTTTTGCGTCCTGTCCCAAGTCAGGAGCCTCTGGCCTTTGTTAGTCTTGTATGTTTTTTTAATTTTGGTTCATTTATATGTTTCAGAGTTTAGTGTGAAGTCCATTTTCGCTGAACAAGCACACATTTTTGTTAAGGGGCCAACTGTAGCCCGCTTAGGGGTGCGGGATTTTCTCACTGTGTTGAAGACCCATTGGTGGCCTTGGGCTGTTTTCTACACTTTGGTCGGATTGTTATCTCTTTGACACATTCCCCGTTTTCATTCTCAATTTAATATATTACATATCATGAATAGATTAGCAAGGACTTCTATAAATTTTATATTTACCAAGAATATTTGTCCATAGAACACTATAACCCACTAGTGCTATAACATTTTATGTTCAGTGAACAGTGAAATCCGGGTCAATACCCTAATTTGGTAAATATCATAATGTGTACAAAGTTTTCAGTTGATGTGACCACAATTTCATGGTTGACTACCCTAAACCAAACCTCTAACTGATCAGTGAACCATGAAATCTGGGTCAAAACCATAATTTGGCATAAATTTAAAAATTTCACATCATAATGAACAAAGGTGCTAAGTTTCTGGTAGGTGTGACCACAACTTCATGGTATAAAACAAGGCATCCAAAACGGTCATATATGCCGGACATTTGTATAATGTCCGGTAAAAGTCCGGCTGGGAAAAGCATGAAACGGTCATCTACTTTTTAGTTTTCAAGGCTTTCTTAAGAGACGGTCATTTTAACATAATTTGTGATCTTTTTGACCCAACATTTTGCCTTTAACAGCCACACATTTCCGGTCATAAAAGTGACATGATCATTAAGTACTATCAAAACAAACCCCTACTTTAATACCTTCTGATTTTAATCAAGGCTAATTAGTTGTCGAACAGCTGAAATTTACCTGTTCAGGTGACAGGTAAATTATTTTGAACCGGACATTGATCGGTCTATTCAAAGTTATTTTCTTACATTTCACAGTTTGCATCTAATTAATTTAGTCATAAAGATTTAAATTATCAGAAATACGCTTACAAATATGATTTGACGAAAAAATTAAAAAGGTGAAAATAAAAAATCGTCATAACCACGTTGTTTGAACCGGAGACATGTCTCTGTTTGAACTAGTACACGTGTGCACAGGTGTGACATTTAATTATGCATCCTAATTTCTTCAAAAAATGCTTAAATTGTCATTGATACCTTTATCTCAAGTTTATTTCGAATATATTCTTGAAGAAATAACGTAGAAAGAGCTACTTACACTCATTCATGCTTTGCAAACGTACACGGAATTTACGTATCGGTCTCTGGTACATGTTTTACCATTGTCAAGATAACATCCGGTATTTTTAACCGATTTAAAAACGGAAGTAAAGTTGTTGACAACGTTATTTTGCACAAATAAAGAGTGTAAGGCAGATATAAGTACGCTGATGTTGCACACTTCGAATGATGCACTGCCAATTTAACAGTTTACGTCAGAACTTCAAATTTGAAAGTTTAATATCGTTTTTTTTTAATGTCAATCATTGGGATGGCCAACTCGGCAACTGATTACCATAATTGCCTTTTGTTTATTTTGTCTTAAAGGTTTAAAATCGGGATAATATATAAAATGTCCGGCTGCATAAAAATAATTTTGGAAGCCCTGGTATAAAACTACCTTGAAACCTAAAGACTTAGTCTTACCTGATAATCCGGGACACGACTTACGGAATGATGGACACACATTCTAGAAAACATAATGCCCAAGCACTATCGTAGGCAGGGCATAAAAAAGTTTTAGTGTTACAAGCTAAAGGAAAATTTTTGTAGCCTGCTGTCTCCAAATAACACAAGCAGACATGGTAAAGTTCATTAACAAACTGATATAAGCAGAAATGATAAGTCTATGTTTTGGTATGGAAACCTCAATGTATCACTCATATCATGATATAAAAAAAATAGGATATAAGTGTTGTTCAACTTCATGTCTTGAAGGAGAATCTGTGAAAGTTTGATGGAATTCTGTTAAGCAGTTATCAAGGATTAACACTTTTAACAAAGTGTAATGCAGACAACAACAAAGCAAGACAATAGAAGTGATCCCTAATGTGTCACCACAGCTGAACTCTGTCAAGTGACACTAAAGCCCAATTGTTTTGCATGAATATATCAAAAATAAAAGGCTCTTCAATAAGTCTATATATTGAAGATCTACCACATTTTCCAATTCTTCCAAATTAATTATTTTTGCCTTACTTTTCTTGACAAAATAATCCCTTACACTTTCATTATAAAAATAAGGAGATGTGATATGATTGCCAATGAGACAACTATCCAACAAAGTTCAAATAAAGTGGATGTAAGCAATTATAGGCAACTGTACGGCCTTCAACAATGAGAAAAAACCCATACCGTATAGTTGGCTATAAAGGGCCCTGAAATATTGTTTCAACAAATATAGAAATTTTCATGATTTATTACATTATTATTGTTTTTCATCTGTTTTTGTTATGGGTCTGGATTGAGGGTAGGGAGAGGGGATGGGATGGGGATGGGATGGGGATGGGATTGGGATGGGGTGGGGTAGGTAATGGAAAGGCATTAGTACTTAACATTTTAGTGATCCCTCTTACTATACCCATACATTAGAATATTGTTCAGGTAAACTGTGTTCACTTATATTGTAAATTCAGAAACATTTGTGTTGTCTTTATTACGGAGAAAACCAAACTGGCTGCTAAAAGCGAATTACCGTATTATTTCACTATTTCACTTTCATTAATGATTGAACAAAAAAATCTTTTTTTTTTTCTATCTTGTAGCTAATGCCCCTTTAATAGAAAAATCATTTCATCTTTTTTGTGATTTAAAAAAAAAATTTCATACCACAGAGTAATAATAAATAATAAAACAAGAATGTGTCCATAGTACAAGGATGCCCCACTGGCACTATCATTTTCTATGTTCAGTGGACCGTGAAATTGGGGTCAAAACTAATTTGCCATTAAAATTAGAAAGATCATATCATAGGGAACATGTGTACTAAGTTTCAAGTTGATTGGACTTCAACTTTATCAAAAACTGCATAATAACATCAGCACACATGGGCCATAAATTTTGTCAAAACAGAACATTAAAATAATGCAATTGACTAATAAAATTTCTGCAAGCCCACTACAATTAACAAAGAAAAAGAAAAAACGTGTTTATCTACACACCTGGATTGCCATGGATTCTATGGTTCTAATTGCATGGTTTAAATCTAATAAAACAAATGGGTTTGTCACAGGTGGTATAACTCCATTATACTTGTACCAACAATTCTGTTAAAATAAAAAGAAGTAATATGATTAGCAATGAAACAGTTATCAACCAAAGTTCAAAGGTCAATAAAGAAAACATCTTGGCCCTTGATCATAAAACTTGAGTATAAAATTAAACATCAAATCCAGTATTTTGATCGGTTGAATTCTGAATCTGAGTAAGATAATCGTACTCCAAATGTTTATGACAGCAAGGCCTAACTGGTATACGAAAATATTATAAAGTAAAGTAATTATTAATATATTTCATTTTTAAGTTGTTCTATTTATTTCTATGATTGTATGTGATTGTATTTTGTATATATTTACCTCTTGTTTCACATGTCAATGTGACGGAGTGTTTTTTTAATTAAAGCATATTGTATTATTGTATTGTATACCAGCTACTTACCATTTCAATATGGCCATTTTTAGAAGTTGCTGAAAGCCTTCATTTTAAAAAAAAACACAATTATACTTGAATTATGGTATAAATTTCATGGCATATTTTGTATTTGTAATAATAACAATGATAACATTTGCCATCTTTATATAAGGTTTAGTTTTCAGATTAAATCAAATAGTTGAAGGTAATTAAATATTTGTTCACCGCTGTTAAGGTGTTCAAAAGATTCTGAAATTTAATATTTACTATATAAATATATTAACATAATTACTTTGAAATTAAGTACTGTTTTTTCCTTGTCATTCACGTCAAAAAACTGGAGCCCATATTCCTCTGCCAGTCTATATACATTATCTTGAGTTGGTCCTACATAGGCACCACCAAGGTCCGACTTACCATGGATGGGGTCCTAAAATTCATTAAAAAAAAACAGGGTGAAAAGGAGTGAAAAATTCTTTACATTTGATCTCTTGTGGAGAGTTGTCTCATTGGCAATCATACCACAGCTTCTTTTTTATATTTACAGAATTATTCCATATTTGCTCAAAACTGAGTTTGCAATCTATAATACATGTAATATAATAACATTATGATGATGATGATGGATGGCTGTTTAATGTCCAGTGACAAATTCAATGCATATTAAGGACAGAAACATGCTAATGTGTAGACAATGTGATAGGAATATGAACCCTTTTTTGCACTAGACCAAAATCCTGAGCCAGATTTTAACCTAATAGCTCACATGCTAATAGTCCACAAGAAGACATTTGATGTTGGATGTGTACTGATTGATATTTTAATCTTAGACACGATTTTTTATTTGTTATTGACTTTGAACAATGTTGAACTAGATTTTAAGTAGCTGTCTTTTGTTATGTTGTATTGTTACATCACTGTCCCAGGTAAGAGGGAGGGTTTGGCACCAACAAACTAGTTTAACCCTGCCACATTCTGTATGTGCCTGTCCAAAAGTCAGGAGCCTGTAATTCAGTGGTTGTTGTTTGTTGCTGTATATCATATTTGTTTTTCTTTTATTTTGTACAAAATTCAGGCCTTTAGTTTTCTCGTTTGAGTTGTTTTACATTTGTCCTTTTTGGGGCCTTTTATAGCTTACAATGCATAAGGGTTTTACTCCTTCTTGTAGGCCGTATGGTGACCTATAGTAGTTACCTTCTATGTCATTTTGTCTCTGGTGGAGAGTTGTCTTATTGACAATCATACCACATCTTCTTATTTTTATATGTTCCTTTACCTGGACACCTAGACGTAACTCATGACCCCATATGCATGACCCCCCACCCCAGGACACACTTGAGGCGAGCATGCTACCACTTTGTTTTACCATATTGCTATAAGAGACTTACATCAATTGTACAAGTCCTGCCTCCAACTCTGTCTCTTGCTTCTAAAACAGTTACTTCTACACCATTCTCTGTCAAAAACTTAGCTGCAGCTAGTCCTATTTCAAATATATCCAAAACACATTATTTTGACGACTATCTTTAACAAATAACTATGAAAATTTATCCAACTAATGTTGAAATGCCGGTGTAAATTGAGGAAACCTTTTCACTGGTTATGGTTTGTTTCATATAATATCTTTTGGAATTTGTATTCTTTGGAGAAGGTGGCAGATATTTGACAGTTTGTAGAACATAAACACATAGAGCTTGACATATTGTGTAGATCTCTAGATATCTTTATTGTGTAGACCACAATAATCATGTCATTACATTATATAGATCTATAGATATCTTTATTGTGTAGACCACAATAATCATGTCATTACATTATATAGATCTCTAGATATCTTTATTGTGTAGACCACAATAATCATGCCATTACATTATTTAGATCTCTAGATATCTTTATTGTGTAGACCACAATTATCATGTCATTACATTATATAGATCTCTAGATATCTTTATTGTGTAGACCACAATAATCATGCCATTACATTATATAGATCTATAGATATCTTTATTGTGTAGACCACAATAATCATGTCATTACATTATATAGATCTATAGATATCTTTATTGTGTAGACCACAATAATCATGTCATTACATTATATAGATCTCTAGATATCTTTATTGTGTAGACCACAATAATCATGTCATTACATTATATAGATCTCTAGATATCTTTATTGTGTAGACCACAATAATCATGTCATTACATTATTTAGATCTCTAGATATCTTTATTGTGTAGACCACAATTATCATGTCATTACATTATATAGATCTCTAGATATCTTTATTGTGTAGACCACAATAATCATGTCATTACATTATATAGATCTCTAGATATCTTTATTGTGTAGACCACAAACATCATGCCATTACATTATTTAGATCTCTAGATATCTTTATTGTGTAGACCACAATTATCATGTCATTACATTATATAGATCTCTAGATATCTTTATTGTGTAGACCACAAACATCATGCCATTACATTATTTAGATCTCTAGATATCTTTATTGTGTAGACCACAATTATCATGTCATTACATTATATAGATCTCTAGATATCTTTATTGTGTAGACCACAATAATCATGTCATTACATTATATAGATCTCTAGATAACTTTATTGTGTAGACCACAAACATCATGCCATTACATTATTTAGATCTCTAGATATCTTTATTGTGTAGACCACAATTATCATGTCATTACATTATATAGATCTCTAGATATCTTTATTGTGTAGACCACAATAATCATGCCATTACATTATTTAGATCTCTAGATATCTTTGACATATTGTGTAGACCATTACACTATATAGATCTCTAGATATCTTTTGGTTTTTTGTGGTGCTGTCTCATTGACATTCAAACCAAACACCTCCATTTAACATGTTTAATTAAGGAATGACTGTAATATTTTTTCTGTCTATGAAGAAATAACATAAAAAATGTGGTGCACACTGAATAACCCGTGAATAGACAGAAAAAATATTTAAGTCATTCCTTATAATTTAATTCTAAACAGGAGTAAACCATGATAAGAATGTTGATGACGTCGTTGTCACATGACAAAATTGTGTCTATGAGCTGATAGACAAAACACTTTCAGCCAATCAGAGGATGTGTTACATCCAAAATTAAATGATTAAAATATGAATAATAAAGTTTTTCATTCTATACAAGTTTTTCATTCTATACAAGTTTTTCATTCTATACAAGTTTTTCATTCTATACAAGTTTTTCATTCTATACAAGTTTTTCATTCTATACAAGTTTTTCACTGATATGTATATATATTCTTCCTGTCTCCTGTGTGTTTTTTTTATCAATAGCAATTCAAAACATAGTGATGTTCAACATGGTGTTTGCTTGTTCTCAGATACTTTTAAAGTTGTTGAAATTCAAATTTGCAATCATTTTGTGTTGAGGTCAATAAAAAAACTATTTTGACATAACTATGATAACAAAATGAAAGAGCTTATAGCTTTGATGGGGAAGAAGACACACAAGACATGCAAAAGGATAACTTGAATAAAAAATGAAAGCATACCACACTAAACCAGTCTACTCTGTGCCATTGTTTCTTTCCGCATAATTTTTTCTTCCAAAAATAGTATACTTACACTTGTTTCCACCATAACAGATTAAACTAATTATAAAAAACTCCAAATACTGTTGATTCAAATTAAATTTTCTACAATACTATACATTGCTTCTCAGCTTGTTCAACTTAAGGGAAGCAAATATACCATGCAACTTCAAACATTTGCCTGGTTTAGATAAAGAAACTCAAAAATTATACAACAACTAGCAAGTAAACATTGCCGCTAATTTTATGAATTCCGAATGTACTTGGAGAATGTCAACTTGGCCTGGAGGCAATATAAAAATAAGGAGATATGGTATGATTGCCAATGAGACAACTATCCACCAAAGTTCAAATGAAGTGGATGTAAGCAATTATAGGCAACCGTATGACCTTCAACAATGAGAAAAACCCATACCACATAGTCGGCTATAAAAGACCCCGACATGAACTTACCCGGTAGCTAGCTAGCCACTCTATAAATAAAATTATCACAAAGAAAAAAGTAGAGTCTGCTTTCTGGCTTTAAGCGTTTGATAATGATGGTATCTTTTTACATCGTTAATGTTGGAGAGGTCTATATATATATTTTAGCAGTAAAAGTTTTATTTTAATAAAAAGGATTAAGTAGTAGTCTGGCCAAATTGCCACTGTACTTTCAAATTTAATCAATGCATGCACCAAATCTACGTTAAAAACATCTCGTTACAGTAAATAGAAAATTTTGAATTGCATGAGATTGAAGATAAGAAAGATCAGGGTTCTCACTAAGGATTTTTGAAGGCAAGTCCAGGAACTCGTCATTTTTGGACAAGGTGACCATGAGTCCAACAGTGAGAAGATGAAATTTCTTGCTGTATAAATCATTATTTCAGTTCCTATGACAAAATAGAGCCAGGAAATGACACCATATTTATATGATCTTTAAAGTATATAAAATATAAAATAATGATAAATGTGCTTGAAGTTGATACAACATTTTACAATCTTCATGCATCTTTATTTCATTATTTGTTGTGTTTTGAATACTGTTGTTTGCCTTTTGGTCTTTTTTTCTTTTATTGTATTTTGGCATGGTGTTGTCAGTTTATTTTCGACTGAAGTTTGAATGTCCCTTTGGCATCTTTTCCCTCTTTTTTTGGACTCAACAGTTTTGAAAATGATGAGTCCAGACAGATTTTCATGAGTCCAGGACTCACGTACTCGCCTTAGTAAGAAAGATGGACTATAAAAATTAACCTAAATAAAATGAGAGATATAAAAACAATAAAACATGAAAATCTAGAAAATTAATGCAAGTGAGACTGTGATTGTTTTTTAATCTGACTGTACATGCACATTTGTTTCTCGGTTTATTTTTCATAAAAATAATGCAGATAGTATTTTACAAACCTACAACTGATCATGTGTACTAATCGTCAGTCTTCTTATTTAAGCGGTTGTTCCTACGCCCGTGTCATGTAAAATGATTGTTGAGCCTGTGAATTCTCAATCTACATGCGCCCATTGGGCCTATAGAAATTTCATAGTAGCCAGAACTTCGGTTGGGATCAATAAATGCATGTGAGTGAAACTTTCAGTTTCAGCAAAATAGGATAGAAATATCGTTTAAATGTCCCCTTTTATATGTAGGTAAAATTTCTGTCAGCACAGTTATTAACTGGTTCCCTATCTTGAGAAAAATATACCGGTAATCAGTATTATGCAAAAATTTGACGTTTGTAGACATGACAAATTTGTATATGTAATTGGTGACAAGATGAGGCTTGAAAGTTACAAATGTATGTTGTAAAGCACAGAAAGAAATATGGTAAAACTCCTGGAAAAGGTCAAATGATTTCAGAAACAGCCAGCCATGTAGGGTTTCAGAAGACTTGAAAGTCTTCTTGCCCCATAAATTGATATGCATTATAAATGTCATCACCCACAGCTATTTTATTAACATGATTAAGTTTATCATAATAAATAGGCACTAGCTATGATTACCTTCAAAAAGTAACAATAAGAAATAATTATTATTACTTCCGAGACTAATTGCCCAAATGTATTTCCAGGCGGATTTCATACAGAAATTGTAGGTGACAATAATATTGTTGTTTTTTTAAATTTCATAGGTTAAAAGGCCCCTAGTACATTAATGTATGACAAAATGTGAATAACCTATTTAGCAGTCAAGGGTCTAACTAACTTAAATAAGTTATTAGAAAAAAATAATATACATATGTTATTACTTTCATGAGTTGTCTACTATTTGTTCCTAAAATGTTCTTAATCTTGGTAACATGTTTGTTATTTGTTAAAACTAATCTGTAATATTTTACTTTTTATTGGGAACTTGGGAATTCTTGAAAATTTGCGCAGAAACTTAATACGTAGACTGGATAACTCATTTTCCAATTAAACAAGCATTCTGAGAGTTTTGCATGGCAATACATAGTCCCCTACCGGGTAAAAATTCGTTTTACTGGAACAAAATGCTAATTTGTTCTATAACTTGTCATGGTGTAAACAAAAAGTAAATATCATGTCAATATCTTCAAGCATGACTAAAAACAGTGTGGAAAACTGATTATATGAGTGAAAAAAACATTGGATATGTTTAATAGTTCTCTAAAATTAGATATGATGTAATACAGTGTGAGTGTATATCTATTTTCAAACTATAATCAAATATAATTAATAGTTCCAAATATTTATTCTTTCATTTGTCACAAACTTATATAGATTTGTAACTTATCTATAAAATGTCAACAACATTTATCTACACAATGTAATGTATTGAAATATATACATTAATGAAAATAGATTATTGTCTAATTAAAGGATTTCTCTTCATAAATTTTTCTTTATATATATATAGCATTCAGAAAATTAGTTTATACTAAATAACAAACA